ATAATACGATCACAAGCTATTTTTGCTGACATAATGAGCCGCATGACCTTTGACCTTGACCTCATGACCCAAAAATGTAATCAGTTCATCAGCTCTGCAAGTAACATACATGACCTAAGTTTGGCAGGAATCCATGAATCGGTTCTTCAGATAACGCGATCACGAGCTGTTTTTGCATACATAATGAGCCCTGTACATACATGACCTAAGTTTGGCAGGAATCCATCAATCGGTTCTTGAGATAACACGATCACAAGCTGTTTTTGCATACATAATGTGCACTGTGACCTTTGACCTGTGACCTTGTGACCCCAAAAATCTAATCAGTTCATCGGCTCTGCAAGATACATACATGACCAAAGTTTGGCAGGAATCCATCAATTGGTTCTTCAGATAACCCGATCACGAGAACGGGACGTACGTACGTACCTACAGACGTACATACGTACGGACGGACGGACAACCCGAAAACATAATGCCTCCCGCTACTTCGTAACGGAGGCATAAATATGGCCTTTTAACCTATAGAAGACGGAACACTCGGGGCAGCATCACCAAAAGTTATAGGTCTGTAGATTATACCAAGCTACACCTCCATACAAAATTTGAAAGAAGTCCGTCAAGGAATGATGCAGTTAGAGCGCACAGAAGATATGACGCGGCGGACGCGGCGGCGTAACGCTGCTGAATCCAAAGTACCCCACCGCGTACTGCCAGGGGATTCAAGAAAGAGTGTTAAACAACTAACTCCCAGATCCTAATCAAATGATTGGTCATGCGCGGTCACGTGTGATTTATTTACTGAGCCTATTGCACTCGTTTTTCATGAAAAGGAGTGCAATATTTTCCAGTACTATTGAACTCGTTTTCAGAGCGCAGTAGTGCACGTAGAGGTTAGAGCGCTTAATACTGCGTTAGCACGAGCCTATTCTTGCGCAGCACTATGCGTAAATAGGTATAGAGGTAATTAGTACGCTTGCTATATCTATAGCTTCGTGTGCATACTAAATTAAGCCTTATTAAACTTGAGATTTATTTGTCAGCCATATACTGTCACGAAACAATTCTTCTTACATCAAATAACAAGGATCTAGGAGTTTCGTTGTATAAAACAAATGATGCGTGTTTTCATTCGTTCATTATACGATCTATCCGCCCTCGTTGATGCTGTGTGTATCTATCGCACTCAGCCTAACAGTTTCGTGCGATAGATACACACAGCCTAAACTCGAGTGTGAATAGATCATATAATGAACTCATGCACATGCATCATTTGTATATTACTTTCATGCAATTTTGAAAGCATTTTTTTTTCCTGGGATAGATGTTTTGCATCTTGACAAAGCGCTCCCCCCCCCCCCCACAATAGGCTAGACTAAGACATTACAATATTAATTTTCACTCACCACGGACTTGTTTCCTTCTTTAGCAAGAAATACATAGAAGTTACTGTGGAAGGAGTCACTCGATAGTGAAACATACTCTAGAGAGGGAGCAGAGCATATAATCTCCGCCACATCATGTGATGTAGTTGGTCCAAATTCTCTAGAACCCACATCAAGTTGGATCTTTAAACAATACAAAACATAAAAATAAAAAATAAACACAAAATGATAATATGAGAAAATCAGAGTCCATTGCTAAAGATTAAGACCACCTGGAATTTTGTTAATGCTTCTGTCACTGGTCCTGCACCAAGATTGTCACATTGAAAGCTTACAGAATTTTTTAAAAAAGTGATCCATATCATTAGAGGAGTGCTATGATCCGTTTTTTTTTAGCAAAGGAAGATCTTGCATAACATTTTTCCTGTAATGCAGTATGGTAAGAAAGGCCATTTTCATAGGGCCCCCAAACTGATCCTCCATCGAAAGGGTAACTCTGAAGTCTGAGCATCAAATCGACAAGAGGAGTGGTTGCCGCAAAACTGCTGTGCAGAATGCCATTTCAAGACCAAAAAAGAGTTGGTAGTCTAATAAAACTTATTCAAAAAATAAAAATATATGCATATATACCAGTGATGGGTATGTGAAACTATATTGTCCAAGTATTATCACATTGCCTGATCTAGATGAGAGCAACAACAAATAGAAAGTCAATATCATCATTAGTATTTAGCCACTTTAATAGATCATTAGTATTAATTAGAGCTCAGATTATCAGGTACATGTACTAGGTAATAGATGTTAGAGAGTGGGAAATATGCATATTATTGGTCCATTAATAAAACATGCATGTCTATAGATACAAAATGGATAAGTACTTACTTGTAAATGTATGTATACTTACCACATCTAAATGTATTCCAGTGAATGCATAACCTGCTACTGTGTGTGCTTCCATATATCTCGTTATCATCAGAGATTGCTCTCCACCCCTCACCAAGGCTGCGGTATCTAGGTCCTGACTCTCAAAGGATACATCAACCAAGAAATCCCTGTCCTTTTTGTTTCGGGTATCACCTTGTAACATGCATTTCATGACATGGTTTGCAATGGTTTTGTCCTGTGACGATACAGTGAAGTACAGGAGATACCTAAACTCTTCCTTCCTAGGCAGCACTACTTGCTCAATCAGCCTGTTGAATTCATTGTGATCTAATTCATACAGGGAAGCAAGATGGAGCCCAGCCATGTACTCCTGAAAGAGTTTGTGTGGAAAGAAGATAGTAGACTGTAGGAACAGACCGCTCTTATCATATGTAGATGACAATTTTTTCTCCTGAGACAATACCCCTACTCTGCAAGCTGTTTCCATGGAGTCTGAGCACTGTTCAAAATCATCTTCTTTGAAAATGAGGGTGTTTTCTTGTAGCCCAATGAAAGCAACTTTGGAAACTGGTTCCATGAGCTTCTCAATTTTAGAGAGATAGTCATCGAATGATGGGCTGCCTAAATTTGGGATCATTTTCTGAGCAAAATGTTTTCTCAGGAATTCAAACATTTCATCAAATATTTGAGAAAAAGTTTGAAATGACTTAAACTTCTCTCGTTTTTTGTCACCAAGTTCTCTCCACATAAGACAGAGCATAGATATGTAGATAGGATACGGGGCCATATTCTCAGATATGATGTCATTGTCTTTGGTTAATTGGATGAGCTGATCTGCTGTGGCCACATCTTCTTCAAAGTACTTGTGAATGTAAACCTCCACATTTTTCTTGCTAAAACCTTCCACATGCATGAAAGTGTACAGTTTCCTCAGACTATCATCCCATCTAATCAATGTGACCTTCCATGGGCGACTTGTCACCAACACCGGGCAAGCCTCAAGTTCATCTGAACAAAGAATGTCGTTAAGTGCAATGTCACCTCTCTCTGAAGAACTTCCACTCCCCTCTGCGCTGTTGACTCTTGGCTGGTAAGTGGCACTTGTTGGGCTTGATGACTTTAGCTGCATAGACTTTGACGGCTTATTCTTGTTCATCTTTGATTCTGATCTTGCCTTGGTTTGATCAGCAGGCTTTGGCTGGTGACATTCTGACTTTGAACCAGCTTTCCTTTGCTGTACAACCTTTCCATCAAACTCATCTAATCCATCAAATGCAATAAATACATCTTTTGGATTTGAACGGATGTACTCAGTGATCTGGCAGGCTGTTGCTGGGTTGTCCTTGGAGAGATACGATTTGGCAATCTCACCGATCGTGTATTGCTTGGCTTCACGAAAAGGGACAACAAGTACCCACACAAACTTTGGGAGAACAGGGCTGTCATTTATCCAGTCCCAGGCAATCTTGGCACAGAATGTTGTCTTTCCAGCACCAGCCTCTCCCTGAACCATGATCCGCTTGGGGAACTCTCCATTAACTTTAAGATCAAAGAGATCCCTGTACTCAAGTGGTCGTTTGCGTTTTCGATATTCCTCTTCCAAGACAAGATTTGTGTACATGTCGTCAAAAGGCACAATGGAATCAGGGTCAAGAGGATCAGCTCGGATCTTACAGAGAGTTGTCCGGTATTTAAATTTGAAATCATCTGCACATCTCTTGATCAGGTCAGAAGAAAGTGGTTGCTGGGCCTGTGATCCTGGCATTGTGAAAGGTGCACCTATAAATTTAATAACATGAGTGTGACAATTTTTCCTGAATATCAAAATGTTTTGTTTGAGGATATTCATAGCATACACATGAACAACATAACAACACATTTCTGATGTACATGTATATTGTTTGTCAACTTTACATTTTCATTTTTTTTAGTCCTGCTGTTTGAGGGTGTTCTCAGGACCAAGATATAATGAGAACAGATGATGATTTATTTTCTTTGCACTTTAATTTCTACACATAATGTATACTATTGTTGATGCATGACACATCTATGTTTCTTTTCTTTTCTAACTTAAAAGTATCTCAATAGAATTTGTCTTTTTTTATGAACGTATATACATGTCTATTTATATAATATCCATATAATTTATAACATATAAATATCATTAATTTCCATCGCTAACAGTGTGGTCAATAATGATGGACCCTATACACCTAATGAATTACAGCTCAAAAAACAATTTGAAACGATATAGAAAGAACTGAGAGAAATGTAGTCCGACTACATTTCTCTCAGTTCATTTTGTTTTGTATACAAAAAATCAGAAATTCTCCATTTTTGGGCTGACATATAAGGTCACAAAAGATAAAATGACTCTGTAATGGTACAATTTTCATAAAATCAGTGTCAAAAGATGAGCATGTCTTGAAAAAAAAGTCTGAAACTGGCTGGGCTTGAAATGCCAAGAAATTTGAATGACAATCCATGTACAGCTTCATGTAAAACTAATTTCATCATCTCCCTTACACAGCACAAAGTGGGTGGGTCTGCAACCATGTATTAATGGCCACAGCCCATGAGACCGAAAGCCCACAAGACCCGCAATATGGGTCTAGCAAACTTTATTAAAAGTTGTCAGAAGGCCCACGAGACCAACGACCCATGGACTGACAGCCCATAAAACCGACTTGTCATTCTCATGGGTATTCTGACAACTATTTTGAGGGTTCACCAGACTGGCAGTATCAGTCTCATGGGCTGTTCATCTACTGGGATGTCCTGCTATAAATAACCCTATTTGTACCAAACAAGAAAGTGTCAAATCAGTGTTTGCTGGCTGCCTGCAAGAGCAATATATTATCAATGGCAGTAAGGGCCTTCTTGCGGGCAGCCGACATGATTTCCTTCTTATTCTCACCTGTCCTGTTAGGGACTAGACTGCCAGCGAGTAGTTCGCCAGAGAGGGACCCTAAGTCGCTTCTTTCTAATCCCTCTGCAAGAAGAGTCCTGATGTCTGTGCCTGGAGGCTGTTTGTCTCTCCATTGCGTGAACACTTTTATCAATGCAGCTCTGGTATTTCGGCTATCTTTCTCGATTTGCTCAAGCTCTGCAATAGAGATGTCCAGGTTAACGCCCATGTCTTCGTAGTAGTAAGGTTTAATTAACTTGGACAGCTTTATGAATTCCTCCTCACTGACAATCCTGTAAAAAAAACATTTTATTGAGTATCTCTTACTGTGTTGTAACCCCTTATGTACATTCATTTCAGCACCTATCTTCATACTTTGTAAATTTAGTTCAGTTGCTAATGAGCATCCAGGCAAATCAGACTGTATAACTAACTACATGGAAGAATAAACTACTCTAAACAAGAAATACAAATATGTACACTAGTTCCTACAGTTGACCACTGTTAGTAACTGCAGTTTCATGCGCATACCTACCTGGTTTTATGAAGCTACATGTATAATAGAAGATTTATTTGAAGGTATGTTGTCGAGGCATACACACACAAGGCTTATACCTCATTAAGCAGTGCACTGAGTTATGGAAGAAGAAATGGAATGCATGTACATTTATGGGGTGTTTTGCTTTTGAATAATAATAAGAAAAGTACTTTATTATCCCTACTGCTCATTACTGTTGCATTAAAGAAAAGGAAATAAGCTTCAAATACATATAGACTGACCTGTCTGGTCCAGGGTTGGTTTCAACATCACCAGATCTCATCAGGAGAATCATGAGCAGATAGAGAAGGCAGAATCCATCCATGGTGCAAGATGTCCGTCTCATTCGACAGAAGCTTGGTTCGCTGGAAAAGTACATGAATGATAACCCCAAGCAAGACATCCTGTAATTGACCAAAAATTGGGATTCTGTTAACTATGTGAATTTTTTTCATGTACAGTGTACATAAAATGGTTCATCTTTTTGACCTCCCCCTCCTCTCCCCCCCCCCCCCCCCCCTCTCTCTCTCTCCATCATCTAAATATTTGACTCTTGATTTGACTCTTGCAATTTAATACTGGAAATTTATTCAGTGATAAAAGGGGCATAAATGTATTTTGAAGATCTATCTTATATCTGGAAAGGGGGGGGGGGGGGGTCCCATCTGTGCTGTAGAGAGACAAAATACACATTTTAAAAGGTTAATGAATTTTAAGCTAATTAAATATCATATTGGGAGTATTCTGATTGTGTATATACCCCCCCCCCCTCCCCCTAAATGGGAAATCTGGGGATTTAACATACATTACCATACAGACTGGTGAAAGTTGAAACAAAATCAGACCAATAATAAGAAACTTATGAATGTTTGAAATGTGAGATCACTATGTCTGTGCAAATTGGCAATTTTGTTAGTAGATTGTGACGTAGTCAAGGAAAACTCTTCCACTTGTTGTGAGTAAAAACAATTTATATTCCCCTTCTAATTCTTTACTGGGGGACTACTCAAAATATATCATGGATAGCACATCATCATAGCCTTCATACATATAGGTCCTCTCAAAAAAGAAAAGACTCTTCCGAGCTGAGAACACATTGGAAAAGTTGGCATTTAAGTAATTTTGTGTTTTGAAACAAACAATAATAATAATAATAATAATAATAGCCTACTAATAGTCCACTCCAAATTTGATTAAACCGAAACGGAAATTCTTTTTGCCAGATCGACGTTGATATATCCCTTCTTGTTGAACGCCCAACAAGGTAGCAACAACTCCCATCTTTTAAGGTCTTTTGGTATGACGCGGCCGGGATTCGAACCAACGACCTCCCGGCTGTGAGGCGGACGCTCTACTAACTGAGCCAACACTCCAGTAAAAGGAAAGTTGTCTGGCTCTATACTGTCACAGTGACATTACTGATTCAGCCAATTTGTTGTGCCCTTAGGTATAGTAATTACAATGATTACCACTTAACAAAATTAATAACTTTTACATGTTTTGTTCAATTTCTTCACTTTCTCCAATCCACTTTTTTGATTTTTTTTTCCTGATTTCTTTCAGAGCATTTGTCTTTGAAGGTTGGATTTTCCTTTTAAGAGTATAAGCTGGGCTGTGTAGACAGAAATAACCGTCTGGTATGGGTCATTCTTTGATAAAACTGACATTTGTCGTCAGTGGAGCCTGACGTAGTCTCAGTGGAACAACCAACGATATAGAGAGACTGAAGCTTTTGGTCTAGGCCTAGGGTAGACTGAAACTTTCATTGTTTTATATCAACGGTTGTTCCACCGAGAATACACTGAGTGACTTGATCTATTATTACTATTAGCAGTCTTTATTTTTATTCTCAATGTTAAAAAAAACAAAAAAACATTGAGATATAAACAGCACGTACAGCATCATCGGCAGAAAAAACAATACAACTAGCAAAGCAAAGACACCAAACTATAAGATATAAGATATGAGAAGGGTGAATACATGAGACGGAACTGGAACCTTGACTACAATCAACAACATTCTTCTAGGGCCAGGGGGCTGTTACTCGAAACCGTCATCAGTCTAAGCTCGTCTACATCCCATACTGGCCATAGGAACGCGTGATAAAAACGTGTTAATTCTATAACACACGTTTCAATGGGATGTCCACGAACTTAGACTTATCTCAGTTTCGAGTAACAGCCCTAGGCCATAGATTCTCGGGTAATTAATTGAAGGTAAACCTAAATGAAATACATGTAAATAGGTCTATAATAAACAAATAATGATTTAATACAAATACAAGAAATAGAATGATGGGTCAACAATAAAGCCTTAAAAGTTAAAGAAAGTTGTCAAAAGTTAAAAGAAAGTTATCCCCATATATTTACCAGATCAGATGGTAATTATCAGTGCTATGTCGTGGCTTGGGAAACCACTCACGATGCACGACGAGTTCGTGCGGTCGCATGCACAAGCTATAGGGCCAGGGCCGGGGTGGTGGGAAGGTCGAAGAAGGAAACAAAATTGGATGACCCAATGAAGCGCTACTGTACGTGCGGATCGGAGCGAATGGTGGTTTCCTGTTTCACGAAAGTGTCATTTCTGTCTACAGCTTGGGCAGCTTGGCTTGGATGATGCAAATCAATTAGATTCTACGTCAACCGTGAGAAATTAGCTGAAAATACGACGCAATGACTGCGACATTGATATTGCATGTTTAGACCCTACACCACTCCCGCAAAGCATAGAGAGTCGATGCGTATTGACTTTTAGCACTGCAATACGTGTTAATAGGCAGCATTTGAATACATGAATAGTCATAACACTCATAACACAGATGCACACAATTATGCCGATGCGGTTGATCGGCAAGTTTGACAGTGGACTCACAATTTGAATTTTTCAATTATTCTTTCTAACATCGGAAAGTTAAAAAAAACAATATTTTACTGCTATTTAGGTGTTATCAATCGTCACTAAAGTACCAATTTTGAGCAAAATCTGATGAGTTTTGTACAGTGGTGTTTAAAATGTTGAAAATCAATAGCACAGCTTTTAATACACAGCCAGGATAGTAATGCACCTACGGTATGTGTGGTTTACACCCCGTAATGCCACACGCCCTACATCGTGCGGGCGAGCGGGCGGGGGTGCGCTTGATTACGTCATGGGGAATCCCCTACAATTTTACGGAATGCCAATAGTGCGGTGGAGCATGACAACAATAGGGACTTTTAGATTTGCGTGGACTGATATACGTGTGACGTCCATTCAAGGCAGTGCATTAAAGGTAAAGACCAGTATTGGAAACGCCCCAATTTCAAAAAATGAAATGGAAGCTCTCATTACCAATCATGTGAAAGAATATGTTTTGACTAATACATGATGATAAAAAATTTGCCGGGAAACCGCCTACTAATTCATATGTTTGGTAAATTTGTTTCTCTCATGGTCTGTGAGAGATATAGGGTAGTCCCATATACATCTTTCTGTGTATAGTGCTTGAAACTTTACGAAGAATGGGCCAAATTTCTCAGGGGCCGGGGTGGACAGGGGGATACGCCCCCACAAAAATAATAATTTGAGGGTGGCCACAATAACTAGGTACTATGTTCCCCCCCCCCCCCCCCTCACATTTTTGAAGTCTTGTATTTCGTATAATAGACTCTATGGGACCCAAATTCTTAAAATTGTGCCTTAGATTTGAGAAATTAAGCACAAAATATGCGCTCTGAATTAGGATTTTGATCTGCAAGGCTAACAAGGGGCGTCGATCTTTCCAGTTCTCTGATTGGCTAAAACTGGTATTATTATAGATCATCAACCAATTAAATGAGATTTGATATCACAAAACTGGAAGAAAAAACACCTTTGTAATGATAGCCCTATGTGCATTTCATAACTGTCGTTTTGAAGTATTGAAACTCTCGCATTTTATAATTGTTTTCTACTCTCATTCAGCTTGATCAATTATTGTTGTACTGAACCGTGCAGTCGAATAAAGGTCAAATATAGGCATATTCCTCGCCATAAAGTAGCCCGAAACGTAAAATCAGTAAATCAGCACCAGTTCTTATAGTGCGGTATGGTATGTAATCCCGTATGATTTTTTTTTTGCTGTTTTGGCTTCAAAAGGGTCCCAATTGGCAAAAAATGATGGGGTTCAAATTTTCAGACCTCTCCTTCATTTCCTGGTGGTCCATATTGGGCGCCAAAATGGCATATATAACGCGCAATAGGGAAATTTGGTGTCTTCGGGAAAATTTGAACCCCATCAATTTCTGATAGCTTGGACCCCAATGAATCCAAAAATGCACACAAATCAACTTTGGCACAAAAATCCTATGGGAGCTGTTTCAGTGACATACCGTACCACACTATTATGTTTATCAGGATTAATTGTGACCAAATAGACACGAAACAGATGTTAGCAGTGAAGCTGAGTGATAATGTGGATAAGTTATCGTTTCACAATGCAAATATTATTTAGACTGGGCAGTTGGTATATGAACATGCAGCCTTAATCTTATAACACTTTTGACATTTTGATAAATTATGTAATCCAGGTATGCAATTAACATTTTAGGGTCGAGAGAGAGAGAGAGAGAGAGAAACAGAGTGATATAGAATGAGATGGGGGTGGGGTGAGTGGTGGGGAGAGTAACTTAAAAAGGGCTGGCGCTTATAATCCAACAATCTAGAAGCATATAATAATAATATTGGATATTTATACAGCGCAAATATCCACCCTGTATCGACTTATTTGACGAGTTGAAAAGCTGAATGAGAAAATAGATCAACAAGATTGTTTTATACGAGTATCTGCGTGATGTGGTCATTACAGGGGCAGATCCACGGGGCGGGGGCGGGCTCACTCCCCTGGCCTAAATTTTTTTTTAAAAAGTATTATATATTTTCTTTTTGCTTAAAGGGGGGGGGGGGGTGTTGAGTAAAAAAAAATAGAGCTCTCCCTCTTCCCCGTTGATCCAACAACAATAAAACAAACAAAAATTAGTGCCCACTACCCCCCCCCCCCCCGCCCCCCCTCTCCCCCTCACCCGCTTATTCGGCCGGCCGGTCGGCTTAGTCGCTGCTCAATATTTTCTCACGAATTGGGCCCCCTCCCTCGCCGCCGTTGTCTTCACACCCGTCTGTCAATTTTTCTTAGTTCCTATGAATTCTGTATCATGAGGTACGATGTGATCAGTGGCATAGCGTGGGCTCATGCAGTCACTGAGTGGGGGAGGGGGGAGCCTTCAGTCTCATAGATCAGCGTTTTTTAAAGTATACCTTTCCCTTTTCCCACTTTATTTAAAAGTCACATTTATACCCTTTTACGATTTTGATAAGCTTCCCGTCACCCCAATCTTAAAATAATCAAGAGGATTTGTTTGTAACCCTAGGGCACATTTTCACTCGAGGGCCATGAGGGACTCTTACCCCCTTTTACCCGAAAATATACTATCATGATCTTGAATAATCAGAACGAGCGAAATTGATGTACACTTTTGTAATTACAAAAATTTTATTTAGTCATCAATGTCTAGATAAAATTTGAAGTAATATATTCGGTCATCTTCTTGCCAGAAATCCTGTAAATTATTTCATCAATTTTGCGAGAAGTGAAGCAAACAAAGGGGAAAAGACACTTTGTTGTGCATTACAGTTTGATATAGAAATACAATAAATAAGGTTATATTCGGGCGTCATATACCCCAGTATCTACGCCACTGTATATTACGGTAGGCCTAGTTATTGTTGCAAAGCAAATTGACCTGTCACATGATAATAGCTTCTCACCACTCGCTCTCGCGGAGATCAATCGAGACGAGGGTTGAATAAGACTAGTATAGCGGAAATATTTTGCGGATTCATTTGGGTAACTGGTAGGGGGCGCTACCGGGCGAATGCCCCCCCCCTCAAAATCAGTCCGGCAGCAATAACAGTAGGTAAAAAAAAATTATCGCCTCTCCCGGCCAGGATATTGGAAATCAATATTGGAATGTCTGTGTTTAATATTAATATAAATAAAGTTTTGTAAATGTATGTAAATAGCTCTTTTTATGAAAAGACATAAAGTAAATGAACATGATGTAAAACTTGTGAATAAAATAAATATTTGAGAAAAAAAGTAACAAACCAAACACCATTTTGTGTGGTATTGTTATTTGAAGCCATTACATGCACTCAACTCATCCAGTCAAGGGCGTATCCAGGTTTTTTTTTTTAAGGGGGGGGGGGGGTTGCCCAATTCGTGAGGAAATATTTACAGGGCGACTCAGCCAGTCGGTGAATAGGCGAGGGGGGACCCAGAAACTCAGCCCCCTCACATTCTCCACGATTTCGATCTCCTCTCCTTCTTCCCTCTTACATACATCCCCACTTCTCGTATGCTCGAAATCTATTCTCTTGCTTATTGTATACTGTTACCCCCTCTCTCCATCTCTTCTCCCTCACGCTCTTCCTCGCTTTCCTCCGTCTATCCTCCACGCCCATGCACCCTCAAATGTCCCCCTCCCTCCATCATTTTCCTCCACGCCCTTCCTCGCTTCCCTCCCTCTATCCTCCACCCTCATAATGTCTCCCGCTCTCCTCCCTTTCCTCCCCACGCTCTTTCCTCCACTCCCAAATGTCCCCCCTTCTTCCATCTCTTCTCCTTCACGCTCTTTCCCCTCTGTCCTCCACTCCTATCCCACCGTCTCTTAATTCCCCTCCATCTCCTCTCCCTTTCCTCGCTCTAAACTCCACTCCCATGCACCTTCATATGTCCCCCCCTCCCTCCCTCTCTTCTCCCTCACGCTCTTTCCTCTCTTCCCTCCCTCTATCCTCCACTCCTATGCACCCTCATTATGTCTCCCTCCCTTCATCTCTTCTCCTTCACGCTCGTTCCTCTCTTCCCTCCCTCTATCCTCCACTCCTATGCACCCTCACACGTCTCCCTCCATCTCTTCTCCCTCACGCTCTTTCCTCTCTTCCCTCCCTCTATCCTCCACTCCTATGCACCCTCACATGTCTCCCTCCATCTCTTCTCCCTCACGCTCTTTCCTCTCTTCCCTCCCTCTATCCTCCACTCCTATGCACCCTCACACGTCTCCCTCCATCTCTTCTCCCTCACGCTCTTTCCTCTCTTCCCTCCCTCTATCCTCCACTCCTATGCACCCTCACGTCTCCCTCCATCTCTTCTCCCTCACGCTCTTTCCTCTCTTCCCTCCCTCTATCCTCCACTCCTATGCACCCTCACACGTCTCCCTCCATCTCTTCTCCCTCACGCTCTTTCCTCTCATTCCTCCTTTCATCTCTGCTCCCATGCACCCTCATCTCCCTCCTCCCCCTTCCATTCCCTCCATACCTTCCCCTCTCTCTGGATTCAAACCTTACAAATAAAATAAATCATAAATTCAGACTCGGAATAGGAATAACAAGAATACTTTAATATTTGGCACATACGCTGTACACTTAAACATGGTATGCACAAACATGATTGTTATGAACATATTTCAACTGTTATGAAAAATTCAATTTCAGTTCATTTGGTGTTCATTGCATATCATAAAAAACATTAAATAATATAAGATCCTCTGATTCAGACTAAAGTGATCAGAATTTCTACTTGAAATTGGAAATGTTCTTTTATTGCTACATTTTCCTCACAAAAATCATGTACCTTCAAAGAATATTGATTTATACACTGATAGAAAGTACAGTAATCACAGACTGGTATGCCAGTTTGTATTAAAAATTGTGATTTTGACGTTTTCAACATGTCACAGAGTTCAGGAATTCAATGCATATTTCCCTTCTATATACAAGAAGCTCTTGGCATCAGAATAATATCAAATCACATGACCACTTTGTTCATACATGCAGGCCTTCAACATAAGGCACACAAATTTGGTACATATCTACTCAGAATCCTGGTGTTTAAATGGAAGAAGAAACAAAATAACAACACTATTTAGTACTGGAATAATCCTTGAATTGTAGATGTACATACATGTAGAGCTGGGCCTGATATACATTAATTTATTCAATTCAATTCAACTTTATTTCTTCCAATAATGACATGGAAATTCATTGTGGGATTTTACATATTGCGTTTACATTAAAATCATGCATAAAAAGACATCAAAAGCATGACATTGAAATAGGATATAATTACATTAAAAATCGGTGAGAAATTGGAAAAACATAACATGACATCGACACAATGCACAAATATACCAAGTAAAGAGACCCAAAGATTGTCAACATAACGTTAGTACCGTACACAATACCCCGATCCCTGCACCCCCACCCCAGAAACTCATCCTAAGTCGGAGAGACATAGAAAGAGAGAGAGTGAGAGGGACAAAGAGAGAGAGAGAGAGAGAGAGAGAGAAAGGGACAGAGAGAGAGACAGAGACATTGAGAAATAACGAGAGACAAAGATAGAGAGAGAGAGAGGAAGAGGAAGATATTTGAGAGAGAAAAAAAGAGAGAGAGAGAGAGAGGAAGAGGTGGGAAGGAATGAGACAGGGGCAGAGAAGGAATCCCAACCCACAGTACGAGCAAACCCGAATTCAGAGATAATAGCACATAGCTCATAATTATCACAACTTCACTCATTCCTGTCAACTTTTCACTTCAGAAATATAGAAAAATATTGTCTCTATTTATAGTATATACAAAGCATAAGGCACATTAAACTTGATACACATCTACTGATAGTTAAAATGGAAGAAGATGATTAAAAAACCACAATATTATCAAGTACTGGAATAATCCCTGAATTGAAGATATACATACATGTACAGTTGAGCCTGATATACATTATCACAATTTCACTCATTCCTGCCAACTTTTCACTTCAGGAAGATAGAAAAATATTGTCTCTGTTTATAGTATAAACAAAGCATAAGGCACATACAACTTTGCACACATCTACTGATAGTTAAAATGGAAGAAGACAAAGAAAAAACAAAAACACTATCAAGTACTGGAATAATCTCTAAATTGTAAATATACACATAATGTACAGTTAGGTCACTGATTACTGCCAACTTTTCATTTCAGGAAGATAGACAAATATATGGTCTCTGTTTAATATAGTATATACATTACTAATCACTCTAAGACGAGTGGCTCCTAATGGGAATGAGTGCAGTTGAGAAAATTCGAGTAAAATGAGTTTATTCAAGGTGCATGTAAACTTTCGTAGCCCAACTGTGTATACTCAACTCGTGTGAACCTGAACAGAATGCATACAATTAAGTTCAACATGGTAATGTAGATACTTAATAAACTAACAATCACAATACAAAACAACCTCATAGTCAATATTGCATTCTGGGGACTCTTCTATAAAAAGTTGAAATTAAAATTGCATCTTCAACCAATCAGGAGCGCATATTTCGTAATTGCGTTTACTTCCTGAGTTGTGTTTGACATTGCAACTTTTAAAGCAAAAGTGCCTATGTATTGGCATCCCACTTCCAGACAAACTAGCTCATATTAACCCTGGGCCCTGTTTCATAAAACTTGTTATCAATAATAAGTGTCACATTTCTATGAACACTTTGCTCTCAGCCAATCAAATGAAACGATTTCTGTAGCTTATAATAGTTATTGCAACTTGTTATTGATAACAAGATCCATGAAACAGGGCCCAGATTTCAAATGTCTAAATCTGCCTTTGTGTTCATTAAGTCATCCTTCACAGCTAGTTTTATCTGATTGCTAAGGATCGGGCGTTACATCGTGGAATACTAAGTAACACTAATAGTTGACCAGATGCTCGTCACAGTGGTAAGAAAAGAATTGCTTTTCAGCCAAGTGGGATAAAAAAAGGTTTACCGTTGTTTGACAATATGTCAGAAATAAAATGAAATTGAAAAATGTATTGCTAGAACAACTCTTAACAGATAAACTAATTGAATGATTGATTTTTGCTCAGGTATAACCTTTCCCTTGTATTTTAGTTTAACTAAGTGATGTCAATAGGAAATTCTGCATGATTATAGATGTTAGGTTGCTAAAAAAAAAATCTAATAGAAAAGAAATCAATGAAGAACTTTGCTTTTGGTTTTTATTTCATCAACTGTTATTTATCGAGTTATGTTTCAAGTCATCGTCAGTCATATAACACAATTTAACAATTCGATAGCAGTATATAATTTATTTTTGCTTAGGTATAAGCTTTTCTTGGATTATAGTTTGACCAAGTGATGTCACTATGAAACTCTGCATGATTGTAGAATCGTTGTGTGTTTTTACATGAATGTTTGCTATTATTATCAAGGAACCCTGTGGATTGGAAAAAATGCTTGTCACAAAAGTTGTGATGGAGGATCAACATTGGAACCCATGATCCAGGCTTTACTTCATGAAATATATAGGGTTAGGGTTTCACTTCATTTTCAGTTAAGACAATAATGTTTAGGGTTATGATTATGTTCATAATACGATATATCTAATGTGTATGAATATAACGTTGCTATGTGGTGATAAGCAGAGGCATACGCGCCGCCTCCAAAATAAATACTCATTAAATGTATGATCAGCATATCTCTGAAATACATTGAATGTGGTGTTTCAATACTAGTGTTATATCATTTCACATTACCTATAAAGTACAGTGTAAGGTCTGAGGCTGAAGTCAGAAGATAGTGGAGGAAACCCAAGCAGAACAATTGTTGCAGGAGCAAGTGTCGTACAACTGTCTTGGAGATAGTTCTATATGATCGAGCAGCACCTAATCCTGCTGTGTGATCTGGATGGTTGTACACTGACCATGGGTGATGGCTCATCCTCCTCGTCTGAGAAGTCACTAGCATCTTGAAGATATTATGATGACCACCTAGCATTCACCATGAATTGATGTTGAGGAAAGAATATAAAATATAGGTTTGGGAGATAGTATCTGGGCCCTGTAACATATGAAGTGACTGCCAATCAATTTTAAAAAATATGTTGTATCTTCAGTTTTGCTACAATTTATTGTATCTGACTAAACATCTGTAACATGAAATTATTAGTATTAAAGTTGATATTTATTATAATAACACTATTGAATGTACAATCAAGATTAGGGAGATACTATTTATCATTGATCTACATTTGCCACACTCAACCCAGGTGATGTAAATGGGTACCTGGTAGAAATTAATTCCTTGAAATGCTAGCCCGCTGCAGTGGCTGCCTTGCTAAAGCCAGGGTAATAATCAGCGCCAGGAGCGTCACAACGTGACAGACATGTGCGCTATAAAAGAAGCCACCACTATTATTATTAGGTGGTCTGTCGATGACAGATCACCTATTGATTTCGTTAGAATTTTCTTTCTTTATTCTTTATTCTTTATTCTTTATTCTTTCTTTATTTATTTTTATTTATTCCGTACACTTTTTTTGTGTATACGTTTACTCGAACTCGACCTGGTCAATTTCCTTCAAATTTCTGCTAGTCATCAGGCCCTATGATATGAAGTTCCCGAAACCTTTTTCAAGTTCATGGGGTCATCGTGACGTCATCCAGGCGCCATTTTGTAAAAATCAGGTCATTATCATATCTCGATAACGAGTTATCAAAAATCAACCATATTTGGTATACATCAACTTCAGGTCAAAGGTCAACGAAAAATGTCCAAAAATTCTGAGCGCGCACCTCGACGCGCACGTACGCGCGCATTAAAATTTAAAAATGGTCAAATTCGTTCCATATTAATTTTGCATACGTTTCAGGCCATTTTAAGCATTTTCAAAATTTGCGCGCGCGTAATTATGCGCGCGCGTTTCCGCGCGTATCCGCGCGTCCTGGCATTTTGCAACATAGAATCGCCAAATTTTTTCTGTTATCATATTTATTACATTTTTCCAAGCATTTTGATACCTTGTTTACCTGTTTCCGACCAGTAATACCGCAATTAGCGGCTGTCAAAGTTGAACGCACGCGCCGACCTGCGCTATCTGTATCCACAATACATGGGCAAAAACATGCCTATACAAAATTCATTTTAACTCTTCAGAATTGATAGATAACCCCCAATTTCTTTCATATTTAAATAGATTATGAGTTGGAGGTATGATTTCATGTCTCATTTGACCCTCAATTAACTCATGACGTCATCATAATGGCCTCCGAACTCAAAATTTCAATTTGCATATTATGACGTCAGCAGATTTTTGGAAAATTGATTGTATCTCTGTAAATATTAATCAATTTTGTTTCAAATTTTGATATGTTCTACCTGAGAATATTCTCTACAAATACAGTCACCACGAATTTTCATTTTGACAATGGTATCATGGCGTATTTTTGCGATTAAAGGAGGCATGTCAATTTTTTACATTTTGCGTGTATTCTCTATGGGACATGACTTTTTCTCAAAACTGGATTCTACATTCTCGTCTTTTGCGAGCAATATCTCCGTCGTTGTATCTTTGTTTACGCTGAGCTTTGAGTATGTTGTAGCTGAGACAATAAGCTATCACAAATGTGCCCTTTATTTTTAGATCAGATGCCGGGATCATGCTCATATTTCACTTAAAAAGTGGGATTTGAGAATTCAGTTTTCAGTTTACGTGTAATCTCTATTGGAAATGTTTTGGTATATCGGTAACGCACTTGACTTCCGACCTCGAGGTCCCTGGTTCGAGTCCGGGCGTTTCCAACAATTTTTTTTCTTCACTTTTTTTTCTTTTTGACCTTTCACTGTACCATCTCCTTTGAATATTAAAACACGTACAATCGCAAATAATGTAATAAACAACCATATTTACTTTAATATTACCCTATTATCACTTGATCCATTACTTTTGGCGTGTAATCCTTATGGGAGATGACTTTTTCTCAAATCTGGATTCTACATTCTTGTCTTTTGCGAGCAATATCGCCGTTATTTCGGCTTGATTTTTGTTGATTTTGGAGTATGTTGTAGCTGAGACTATATACTATCTAAATGTTCTCTCATTTTTTTCAGTCTGATGTCATCGTGGTCTGTTGATGATAATCATCAACATCATCATGATCATCATCATCATCATCGTCATCCCCATTACTATCAAGATCATCATCATCATAATCATCATGATGATCATCATTGTTTACATGTCTATATAACTTCTCCCTTTCTCAATATAGTAAATATTATAATCTATCATAAGACTTGAAGACAGACCACCTTAATCGTCCTCGTGACGATTTAAATTCTAGTTATTATTATTTTTCAATGTTACAGGGCCCAGGCAACGGACGCCTTGTGAAAGAATGTTTCCTGTTATGAGTTATGAGAAAAGATATCAGTTAATTTTTACGCAAAAATGATTTTGTAAATGTACAGTTAAGAGATAAATCTGCACCAGCACCAACATATAGTGTCTATTCTATGCAATTTCAATATATGATAAATAACATAATTTTTACTGTTCAAAAAATAAAAGACAACATACAGTACAGTTTTCAGAATACAGCTCCAGAATGCTAAGGAATTGTATTTAGGTTATTTTGGACAATAAACAAATATGTAGGGTAATTTTCAGGCCTGATATCATTAGCAGGATTTACACAGCAGATAGCTGCATCGCACTAATTTTGAGTGGCCTTGCGTTCACAGAGAAATGAGGGGGGAAATGAAGCAAAAGTGCTTAATAGAAAGTAATACATGAAAAATGATATTACGTGCATGATAATATAAAAATTAGTTAAATCGAGTTGATGTTGTATACAGCTATCATACAAAGCTGTCAGGCTGAGTACGAGTTGCATAACAACCTCAACAAGAGCGGATAGATCCTGTAATGAAGAAATGAAAACATCCATCATTTCAACAAAAATCCTAGATCCTTGTTATTTGATGTAGAAAGACTTTATTTAAAGATTGCTTTTTGTAATTATTGCTGACAAATAAACCCCAACTAATATAGCCTTAATCTAGAGCGTATAAAAGATATGGGCGCACTAACCTCTACGAGCATCAATGCACAGTGCTAAACATATAATAATCTACACACAGTTCATGTATATAAAGCAAATTAAACTCTTCATGCACTGCTGCATATTGTGTACTTAAAGATTGCTAAATAGTACTGGAGACTACTGCATGCTTTTTCCATGTGATATTCTTAGTTAATGAATTCACATGTAACCACGTTTCACAAATTATTTTATTAGGATCTAGGAGTGTGTTGTTTAACGAAATAAATTTGTAAGTCATTATGTTTAGTTCACTTACGATCGATAGTCATTGAGCGCCTGCAGGAATGAATCGATATCCGCTTTGGGAACACTATTAAACCTGAAATTTCCCTTGCTGATTTGAGGAAAAGAACCCTGGAAAGAATATATGAGAAAGATTGGTAATAGTGATTCATGAAATTTTCCTCCATTCCAGTCTTCCTGACTTACTCTACCTGTCTACCATATATCATACAATGTACATACCGGGTCAGTACGTACTCTCTCTGGCTTATAGAGTTAGTGTCCAAGTTACGCTGACACCTCCTATACGCCCCCCCCCCCCGACCAAATATGCACACATACAAAACAGCTATATTGAACTGGTCAATATTTCAACAAAATGTTTACGCTGATCCCCCTCGGCCCCGTTCCTCCCTCCCTCCCCCACCAAACACACACACATACAAAACAGTTATGTTGAAGTGGTCAATATTTCAACAAAACTTTATGCTGACACCCCTCACACCGACCGACCAACCAACCATCTGGCAAAGTTCAGTCATCTGGCCATGTCTCCATGCAAAAGTTGATGCCAGACGTGGAAGTGGTAGGGATACTGGTTAAGATCTAACCTGGTGATGCGGTTAAACGTTGCCGAGGGTAGACCTAACCCATTTCATCTGGAACTGGTGCTCATATGGTGATTGATGAGTCTCTGTCTCATTGATTCTATTTTATTCTGAGATCTTGCCGTTTGTCGCCTTCCAGAGTTTCCTTGGTTCCTATTCAGACTGGTTCCATGTTGATGATATTTGCGCACATTGGCCAAAATCGCTGGCTTCTAAGGAACTTCGCGTTCTGGAAACGAATCCTAAATTCATTTTGGACCACCTGTAAACTCCCTGTCTCATGATATTTTCTTACAAAAAATAACCTCTGCTCATTTGTTAATTGCACCATCTTGGCTTCTTGAGGTATGACTGATATATAGCACTTGAAATTAATGGTTTACTTACCTCACAGACACAAGAAATGCATCAAAAGACACAAAGGAGGGATGTTGATGCATACCAAAGCAAGTGATAGTGAATTTTTATGACAAAGAACTGGATCCTAACATTTTTGTTCACCTTGAATGACTTTGTTGTTTTAGTTTTTAATGGCGTGTATCATTCATTTATGAATATTTACTAATTCAAGAAGGGTTACCTTAAAGGTACTATGGCCCATTTGCAGGCCCCGAAAATGAAAAGGTTAAATTCCAACGGCATTTGAAAGATAATACTAATTTAGAACTTCCCTAAGAAAGGTGGGGCTTGAAATGTCTTCAAGTGGGAAAATAATGACCATTAGTTGTCAAATCGACTTAGGAGCTATAGAGCCAATAAGTAATAGTCTTGATTTTCAGACCATTGCACCGAATGGTCATACTTTTTATGCTGCGCAAAGATTCAATCAGTTTAATTTTGGCCATCACAAGAAGTGGGTTATTGATGTAGAAAAATGCTCATGTACCCTTTACAGCTCATTTTATGTATCTTATTACCAAAGAAGAAAAAAAGCCAGTCAGTCACTCAATAGTGTCTGACAGTGAAGTCTAGCAAGTAAACGGGTTTCCTTGCAAAATTTAATATTAGGACACTGCTAACGTTTAAATTTCACAGATAGGACATACATGATATATTCATAATTCCTGCAAAGTTCTACAGAATTTGAGGTTGGCTGCAAAAGGGACATAGTACCTTTAATCAAGGAATGAGAAGATTGCATAATCACAAAGGAAATTATTAAATATTTACCTATTTTAGATTAATTTTTGAGGTATGAATCATAATGCATGAATTTTTTTTCACATTTGCTACTCACATGAATAAATCAATTTTAAAATTTACTTTGCAATCATTTTCAAACTAAATTCATTGCTCAATGGGTCCTTGACACAGAAGCTTTGATTTAATAGAAACTTGGTACAATGAGATTTTGACCATTTTGTTGTTAAAAACCTGGCGTTCAGTCATCTGTGTTAGGAATTACATGAATAGGGTATCATTGGATAGGATATGAGTTACTCTTTATGATGACATACATTGCATGACCACAAAGATTGTAACTTTTTATATGAAGCTACCAAAGTTGGTAAAACTTTTTTTGATATGCACTGTAGAGTACAAACACACATACATACCTGTAAGGCCTTTGCATTCAGTGTAGCAAAGAACTCCTCCTGGAAATCCTTTCCTTGTAGTTCCAGGTCAGTCAGGTTAGGCATGGAACACAAAGCTTCAACTAGGTTAATTGAAGAGGCGGATGTTGGACACTGAACATTCCATAGCCTAAGAGTTTGGACCTACATGTATACAAACAGTGATTCATACAAGTACGCTACCAGAGTACATATTTTTCCTGAATGACTTAAAATATAACTGGGTGCTTAGGTACACATGTCTGTGTTTGGCTATGCTCAGGTGACAAATGCTCTCGGCTAATATTAGTCAAATATATAGGATTTGGAAATGGGCTGCAAATAGGTTTGAGCTTTATTAGTGATAGGTATCCTCTTTGGTGCAGGGATAAAGTTAAGAATTAATAGTTTAGGATAGTAAGCACAAAAAATTGTTGACGGAACATTCGTAAAAAAATTGGAAGACTAAAAGTATGCATTAACCATGAATGTGTATGTAGAGTGAGAACATGGAGTTGTGCTCAAAATAAATACACTGTGATCTAGATCTCCATTCTTGTTTAGTGAGTATTGCATCTGAAGTATACTTTGATACTGCTTTCAGACCCATGATAACATGATTCCAACCTTAAAAATGCTCTGAACTTAAAAATACAAAATTTACAAAACAACAAATATTTGTATCTACTAGTCTTTAGAGCGTTTTAGTAATCCGTTTATAATGAAATTGTATTACTGTATTTAGTAGCAACACAACACTCTTTTTTTTCCTCAAAATGCTTACTTGAAGACCTTCAGTTGGTCTTCATCAAAAAAAGAAATACCTTTCCGGAGGTAAATCTTTAACAGTGATTTTGTTTTGTTTTTGCAGAGCATTATATTTTCAACTCAAGCTATATAAATTCAGTATCATACACTGCATATGAAAGACCCTCTATATAAATGAGGTTTCTTTGTCTGCTAAGACTTTTATATATTTTCATACAAAACATTACACACATTGAAAATATATTGACTACCGGTATTACTAAAATATCAGAACTCCTTATACTCATTTCCACTGCAACATGTGTACATGAATTCATCATGGCATGGCTATAGTGTACAAACACACACATACCTGTAAGGCCTTTGCATTCAGTGTAGCAAAGAACTCCTCCTGGAAACCCTTTCCATATAGTGTCAGGTCAGTCAGCTTTGGCATGGAACACAAAGCTTCTGCTAGGTTAATTGAAGAGGCGGATGTTGGACACTGAAGACTCAATAGCATGAGAGTTTGGACCTACATGTATACAAACAGTGATTCATACAAGTACATTTAATACCAGAGTACATGTATTTTGTGAATGACTGCAAATATAACTGGGTGCTTAGGTATACATGTCTGTGTTTGGCTATGCTCAGGTTAAAGCTCTCGACTATATTTAGTCAAATGTATGGGACTTGGATATAGGCTGTAAATATGTTTACTTTTTTGTGCAGGGATAAAGTTAAGAATTTGGTTAGTTCAGGATAGTAAGCATGGAATATTGTTGACGGAGCACGTGTCAAAAAACAGGAGGACTAACAATTACAGCCAGAGTGCATGTAATTACGACATACAACATATTGATGAATTCAAGAATATCTCCTACCAGGTAGCCACTACTACACCTAGGTTGGGTGTGGCAAATGTAGATAAATGTATTGCCTAGGAACATTAGTGCTACGTACGGCAGGGATTGAACCTTATACCTCTTGGTTCAATGTCCATGCAGAGACTTATCCACTGAACAATATTCACCTCTACATGAACCATGGTTGATGCCCATTTAAAAAAAATGTTTATTATTCATATGATTTTTTTAATTAAATAGAGTGGTATTTGTGTTTGAAGAATTAGATAATCAAAGAAGTATAACTACCGCTTTGTCGATTATTTAGACACATTTTTGACACTGCCTAAATGCTATATTTCATTTCATTTATTAGTTCAACCATTTTTTTAAAACAACATTCAGAAAAACAAACAATATTCGAAGGACATATACAAAACATGATGGACATACAAAGTAAAATATGGTTAGGGAGAGAAGCTTAGGCTTGTAAGTGGGGTTCAATAAACAAGTAAAAATGTATAACAAAATCCAGATAATACCGTTAAACTAAAATAAACAAGTCAATGCAAAGCGTAGCATCCCCTCGCAGGGTACAAATGGCCTATATACGTCAGAACAAGTTACCTCCATTGGACTATACTTTTATATTTAATACTAGGTAAGGAATGTATTTTTTCAAATACATAATTAGGTGTTTTTGCATATTTAATGAGCTATGACCTTTCACCTTTGACCTATATACTCTGAAATTGAAGTTAGGCTGTACATGTATTTTGATACCATGTACCTTCATATTAAATTTCATTAAAATTTGTTAAAACATTACTCAAGTTATCGAATGGAAACCAGATTCACATATTTAATGAGCTATAACCTTTGACCTACGTACTCTGAAATCGAACTTAGGCTGTGTTTTGATACCATGAACCTTCATATCAAATTTCATTAAATCCGTCAAACAATACTAAAGTTATGGATCGGAAACTAGATTCGCATATTTAATGAGCTATGACCTTTGACCTTCATACTCGGAAATTGAACTTAGGCTGTGTTTTGATACCATGTACCTTCATATCAAATTTCATTAAAACTCATCAAACATTACTCAAGTTATCGGATGGACACCAGATTTGCATATTTAATGAGCTATGACCTTTGACCTACGTACTCCGAAATCAAACTTAGCCTGCATTTTGATATCATGTACCTTCATATCAAATTTCATTAAAATCCGTCAAACATTACTGAAGTTATCTATTGGAAACCAAATTTGTTAAGAACGGATGGATGGACGGAAGGATGGACGGACGGACGGCAGCGTCACTATCCCCTCCGACTTCGTCAGCGAAGGGATAGTAACAACAAGAATAATAACAAGAAAAACAAGAACACTAATGTCATTAGTTGCAATACAGTATACAAATAATACAAGAAATATTATATGACAACAGTCACTATGAGTACATGAATACATTTCATATGAAAAAATCCATGCATATAATAATGCAAAAATAAAACTACCAAGATTTGTTAGAATATAATCACGAGATGTTGTAGAAACATTTAAAGAATGAAATTCTTCATTGCGTCCAGGTCCTTACCTCGTCATTGTTCTTTATCTCCATTTGTAATCTTTATTTCCTCTTTAATTCAATTTCGCTATTCGAGAAAACGACTTGTACTCCTCATTTCCTTTATATTTATTTTGCTATAGCAACTAGAGGGGCAACTAGAGGACAACATAAATTCAAGACCCAACCTTGATTTATTTTCTGACCAAAATCGTAGTGATGTCTTAGATTTTCAAGGGATTGACGTTTTGCATCTTGACAAAGCGCTCCCCCCCCCCCCCAAATAGGCGAGACTAAGACATTAGGCCTACAATATTCATTTTCACTCACCTTGGACTTGTTTCCTTTTTTAGCAAGAAGTACATAGAAGTTACTGTGGAAGGATCCATTGAATAGTCTTACACGCTGTAGAGAGGGAGCAGAGCATATAATCTCCGCCATATCATGTGATATAGTTGGTCCACGTTCTCTAGCCTCCACATCCAGCTTGATCTTAAAACAAAACAAATATCAAAAAATAAACACAAAGTTATGACATAAGAAAATCAGAATTCAACGTTAATGGAATGTTGTTAATGCTTCTGTCACTAATCCTGCACCAAGATTGTCTCATTGAAAGCTTACAGAATGTTTTTTTTTAAGTTGTCCATATCATAAGAGTAGTGCTATGATCCCTTTTCTGGCAAAGGAAGGTCTTGTATAACATATTGTCTGTAATGCAGCATGGCAAGAAAGGCCATTTTCAAAGAGCCTCCAAATTGACCCTCCATGGAAAGGGTTACCCTGAAGTCTGAGCATCAAATCAACAAGAGGAAAGGTTGCCGCAAAACTGCTGTGCAGAATGCCATTTCAAGATGGCTTATGGTATAGTCTAATAAAACTTATTCAAGAAATAAAAAATATATGCCTATACCAGTTATGGGTATGTGAAGCTATATTCCCCAAGTATTATCACATTGCCTGATCTAGAGATGAGAGCAATGTGGTGTCATATCACCCCTCCCCCCCCCCATCCGAAAAAATAGCCAGTCAATATCATCATTAGTATTTGCATGGCCACTTTAAAAGATCATTAGTATCAAATAAATCTAGGATTATCAGGTACTAGGTAATAGATGTTAGAGAGTGGGAAATATGCATATTATTGATCCATTAATAAAACATGCGTGTCTATAGATACACAATGGATTTGTGCTTACTTAAAAATGTATGTATACTTACCACATCTAAATGTATTCCAGTGAATGCATAACCTGCTACCGTGTGTGCTTTCATATCTTTGTCTATTATCAACTGAGATTGCCCTCCACCCGTCACCAAGGCTGCGGTATCTAGGTCTCGACTCTCAAAGGATACATCAACCAAGAAATCCCTGTTCACTATGTTTCGGGCATTACCTTGTACCATGCATTTCATGACATGGTTAGCAATGGTCTTGTCCCGTGATACAGTGAAGTACAGGAGATACCTACACTCTTCCTTCCTAGGCAGCACTACTTGCTCAATCAGCCTGTTGAATTCATAGTGATCTAATTCATACAGGGAAGCAAGATGGACCCCAGCCATGTACTCTTGAAAGAGTTTGTGTGGAAAAAAGAGAGTAGACTGCAGGTATGGACTGCTCTTATCATATCTAGATGACAATTTTTTTTCCTGAGACAACACCCCTACTCTGCAAGCTGTTTCCATGGAGTCTGAGCAATGTTCGAAATCATCTTCTTTGAAAATGAGGGTGTTTTCTTGTAGCCCGATGAAAGCAACTTTGGCAACTGGTTCCATGAGCTTCTCAATTTGAGACATATATGCGTTGAATGATGGGTTGTCTAAATTTGTGATCATTTTCTGAGCATAATGTACCCTTAGGAATTCAAACATTGTATCAAATATTTGAGAAAAAGTTTGAAATGACTTAAACTTTTCTCGTTTTTCGTCACCAACTTCTCTCCACATAAGACAGAGCATAGCTATGTAGATAGGATACGGGGCCATATTCTCAGATATGATGTCATTGTCTTTGGTTAATTGGATAAGCTGATCTGCTGTGGCCCCATCATCTTGAAAGTACTTGTGAATGTAAGCCTCCACATTCTCCTTGCTAAAACCTTCCACATGCATGAAAGTGTACAGTTTCCTTAGTCTATCATCCCATCTAATCTCTGTGACCTTCCATGGGCGACTTGTCACCAACACCGGGCAAGCCTCAAGTTTATGTGAACGAAGAATATCTCTAAGTGCAATGTCACTTCTCTCTGAAGAACTTCCACTCGCCTCTGCGCTGTTGTCTCTTGGCTGCGAAGTGGCACTTGATGACTTTGTCTGTGTTAACTTTTGCCGCTTATTCTTGTTCATCTTTGATTCTGATCTTGCCTTGGTTTGATCAGCAGACTTTGGCTGGTGACATTCTGACTTTGAACCCGCTTCCCCTTCCTGTACAACCTTGCCATCAAACTCATCTAATCCATCAAACGCAATGAATACATGAGTTGGATTTGAACGGATGTACTCAGTGATCTGGCAAGCTGTTGCTGGGTTGTCCTTGGAGAGATACGACTTGGCAATCTCACCGATCGTGTATTGCTTGGCTTCACGAAAAGGGACAACAAGTACCCACACAAACTTTGGGAGAACAGGACTGTCATTTATCCAGTCCCAGGCAATCTTAGCACAGAATGTTGTCTTTCCAGCCCCAGCCTCTCCCTGAATCATGATCCGCTTGGGGAACTCTCCATTGACTTTAAGATCAAAGAGATCCCTGTACTCAAGTGGTCGCCGCTTGCATTCTCGATATTCCTCTTCCAGGACGAGGTTTGTGTACATGTCGTTAAATTGCGCTATTGAATCAGGGTTGAGAGGATCAGCTCTGATCTTACAGAGAGTTGTCCGGTACTTAAATTTGAAATCATCTGCACATCTCTTGATCAGGTCAGGAGAAAGTGGTTGCTGGGCCTGTGATCCTGGCATTGTAAAAGGTGCACCTATAAATTTAATAACATAAGTGTGACAATTTTTCCTGAATTTCAAAATATTTTATTTGAGGATATTCATAGCATACACATGAACAACATAACAACAAGTTTCTGATGTATTTAATGTTTGTCAACTTTACATTTTTATTTGTTTAGTCCTGCTGTTTATGAGGGTGTTCTCTGGACCAAGATTCAATGAGAACAAAAGATAATTTATCATCTTTGCAGTTAATTTCTACATATCGTACATGTATACTATTGTTGATGCATGACACGTCTTTGTTTTCTTTTTTAACTTAAAAGTGTCTCAAAAGAATTTGTCTTTTTGGGTGAACGTATATATATATATATGTCTATTTATGTATCCATATATAACATGTAAATATCATTAATTTCCATCGCTAACAGTGTGGACAATAATGATGGACCTTATACACTTAATAAATTACAGCTCAATGAACAATTTTACGCGATATAGAAAGAACTGAGAGAAAAGTAGTTTTCATTTTGTTTTGTATAACAAAATCAGAAATTCTGTATTTTGAGGCTGACATATAATAGTCACAAAAGATAAAAACGAATGTTACAATTTTCATAAAATTGGTGTCAAAAGATGAGCATGACTTGAATAAAAAATCAGAAAGTGGCTGGGCTTGAAATGCCAAGAAATTTGAATAACAATCCTTGTACAGCTTCAAGTAAAACTAATTTCATCATCTCCGTTACACAGCACATAATGAGTGGGTCTGTAACCATGTATTAATGACCACAGCCCAAGCAACCAGCCCACAAGACCCACAATATCTGTCTAGCAAACTTTCTGAAAAGTTGTCAGAAGGCCCACGAGACCAACGACCCATGGACAGACAGCCCATAAGACTGACATGTCAGTCTCATGGTGCATGTTCTTACAACTATTTTGAGGGCTCACCAGACCGGCAGTATCGGTCTCGCGGGCTGTTTGTCTACTGGGATGCCCTGATATAAATAACCCTATTTGTACCAAATGAGAAAGTGTCAAATCAGTGTTTGTTGGCTGCCTGCAAGAGCTATATATTATCAATGGTAGCAAGGGCCTTTTTGCAGACAGTCGACATGATTTCCTTCCTATTCTCACCTGTCCTGTTTGGGACTAGACTGCCAGCAAGTAGTTGGCCAGAGAGGGACCCTAAGTCACTTCTTTCTAATCCCTCTGCAAGAAGAGTCCTGATGTCTGTGCTTGGCGGCTGTTTGTCTCTCCATCTCGTAAACACTGTCATCAATGCATCATTGGTACGTTGCAAATGCTGCATGCTGATTTGATCAAGCTCTGCATTGGGGATCTCCAGGTTAACACCCACCTCTTTGTAGTAGCTAGGTTCAATTAGCTTGGACAGCTTTATGAATTCTGCCTCACTGACAATCCTGTAATAAAAACATATTTCATCAAGAATCTCTTATTGTGTTGTAACCCCTACTGTACATTCATTAAATCACCTATCTTCATACTTTGTAAGTTTAGTTCAGTTGCTGATGAGGCTTCGTGCGAAACAGACTGACCAACTAACTACATGGAAGAATAAACTACTCTAAAGTACAAATATGTACACTAGCTCCTACAGTTTAGCACTGTTAGTACCTGCAGTTTCATGCACATACCTACATGTACCTGATTTTTGTTATTAAGCTACATGTACAAGATTTATTTAAAAGTATATTGAGGCATAAACACATAAGGCTTATGCGTCATTAAGCAGTGCACTGAAATATGGAAGAAAAATTGGCATGCATGTACATGTATGGGATGTTATGCTTTAATAATAAGAAAAGTACTTTATTATCCCTACTGCTCATTACTGTTGCAATAAAGAAAAGGAAATAAGCTTCAAATACATATAGACTTACCTGTCTGGTCCAGGGTTGATTTCAACATCACCAGATCTCATCAGGAGAATCATGAGCAGATAGAGAAGGTAGAATCCATCCATGATGCAAGATGTCCTTCTCATTCGACAGAAACTTGGTTCGCTGGAAAAGGTACATGAATGATAACCCCAGCAAGACATCCTGTAATTGACAAAAAGGGGGATTCTGTTTACTAAAGTGAACGTCTTTTAGTGACATGCATGTACAGTTCATAGTTCACCTTTTTCACCCCCTCCCCCCCCCTCCCTCCCTCATCCAAATATTTACCTCTTGATTTGACTCTTGCGATTTGATACTGAACTTCATTCAAAGATAAAAGGGGCAGAAATGTATTTTGAAGATCTAGCTTTTATCTGAAAGGGGGGGGGGGGGGTCCCATCTCTGCTGCAGAGAGACAAAATACACATTTAAAGGGTTAATGAATGAAAGCTAATTAATAAAGACCAGTTTTGGAAACGCCCCCCTCTCAAAAAAATGAAATGGAGGCTCTTATTACCAATCATGTGAAAGAATATGTTTTGACTAATACGTGATCATACAAATTTTGCAGAGAAACCGCCTAATATTTGATATATTTGGTAAATTATTATATCTATTTGGACCTGATAGATATAACGCACGTGTCGTGCACGTGTTGCGTAGTCCCATATACATCTTTATGTGTACAGTGCTTGTAACTTTACCAAGATTTATATGCTAGGTGAACAACTTTTCTGATCGATTCCACAACGTTTCTTTCACAATGCAACTGCATGACCATAACTGGTCTTTATCTTTAAATATCATAATGGAGTATTCTGATTGTGTGTAGGATGTATGTACAAAGAAATAAACTATATATTTTGGAAATTAACATACATTAACATACAGACTGGTGAAAGTTGAAACAAAATCAGACCATTAATAAGAGACTTATGGATGTTTGAAATATGAGATCACTATGTCTATGTGAATCTCAAATTGGCAATTTCGTCAGTAGATTATGACGTAGTCAGGGACAACTCTTCCATTTGTTGTGAGTAAAAATAATCTTTGTTCCCCTTCTAATTCTTCACTGGGGGACTACTAAAAATATATCATGGATAGCACACTATCATAGGTCCTCTCAAAAAGAAAAGACTCTTCCGAGCTGAGAACACATTCGAAAAGTTGGCATTTAAGTAAGTTTGTGTTTTGAAACAAATGGGAAAGTTGTCTGGCTCTATACTATCATTACCGATTCAGCCAATTTTAGGTATGATGATTACAACTAAACAAAATTACTAACTTTTACATGTTTTTATTAATTTCTTCACTTTCACCAATCCAATTTTCTGTTTTTTCTTCTTATTTCTTTCAGAGCATTTGTCTTTGAAGGTTGGATTTTCCTTTTAACAGTATAAGCTGGGCTACAGCTAGGCCTAGGCTAAGGTAGACAGAAATAACCGTCTGGTACGGGTCATTCTTTAATAAAAACTGACATTTGTCATCAGTGGAGCCAGACGTAGTCTAAGTGGAACAACCGACGATAAAGAGAGACTGAAGCTTTTGGTCTAGGCCTAGGGTAGACTGAAACTTTCAGTGTTTTATATCAACGGTTGTTCCACCGAGAATACATCTGGCTCCACTGAGTGACTTGATCTATTATTATTACTATTAGTTCAGTCTTTATTTTCATTCTCAATGTTAAAAAAAAACAAAAAAACATTGAAATATAAACAGCACGTACAGCATCATCGGCAGAAAAACAATACAACTAGCAAAGCAAAGACACCAAACTATAAGATATAAGATATGAGAAGGATGAATACATGAGACGGAACTGGAACCTTGACTACAATCAACAACATTCTTCTAGGGCCAGGGGGCCGTTACTCGAAACCGTCATCAGTCTAAGCTCGTCTACATCCCATACTGGCCATAGGAACGCGTGATAAAAACGTGATTTTATTTTTATACGAGAATGATGGGTCAACAATAAACAGCAAATAGCCTTAAGAGTTAAAGAAGGTTGACAAATGTTAGTTATAAGAAAGTTATCTCCATATATTTACCAGATCAGATGGTAATTTTCAGTGCCTATAATGTCGTGGCCTGGGAAACCCCTCACGATGCACGCAGAGTCCGTGCGGCCGTATGCACAAGCTATAGGGCCAGGACCGGGGTGGTGGGAAGGTCGAAGAAGGACACAAAATTGGATGACCTAATGAAGCGCTACTGTACGTGCGGATCGGAGCGAAACATGGTCGTTTCCTGTTTCACGAAAGTGTCATTTCTGTCTACAGCTTGGATGATGGGAATCAATTAGATTCCTCGTCATTAGTGAGAAATTAGCTGACAATACGACGCAATGACTGCCCGGAATGACTGCGACATTGAGATTGCATGTTTACACCACTCCAGCAAAGCATAGAGAGTCAATGCGTATTGACCTTTAGCACTGCACTACGTGTTAATAGGCAGCATTTAAATACATGAATAATTATGACAGTCATAACACACAGAGGCACACAATTTTGCCGATGCGGTTGATCGGCAAGTTTGACAGAGCACTCACAATTTGAATTTTTTAATTATTTTTTTAACATCGGAAAGTTAAAAAAATTGTATTTTACTGCTATTTAAGTGTTATTAATCGTCACTAAAGTACCGATTTTGAGTAAAATTAGTTGAGTTTTGTACAGTAGTGTTTAAAATGTTGAGAATCAATGAAACAGCTTTTAATACACAGCAAGGATAGTAATGCACCAGTGGTTTACACCCCGTAATGCCACGCCCTACATCGTGCGGGCGTGCGTGCGGACGGGGGTGCGCTCGGGCGGGTGTGCGCTTGATTACGTCATGGGGAATCCCTTAAAAATTTACGGAATGCCAATAGTGCGGTGGTGCATGACAACAATAGGGACTTTTAGATTTGCGTGGACTGATACGTGTGACGTCCATTCAAGGCAGTGCATTAAAAGGACGTCGACCGTAGCAATCCACATTGTCTTCGTGCAAATCTAAAAGTCCCTATTGTCCCTGGTTAAGCTGTCAACACGGTTCAAGGTCAACCATAATCACGTCAGTGTGGCATGGCCTCATGGGCGTCAAACAGGGGCCGGGGGTGAACAGGGGGATACGCCCCCACAAAAAATAATGATTTAAGGGTGGTCACAATAACAAAGTAGGCCTACTATGTCCCCCCCCCCCCCTCATATTTTTGAAGTCTTGTATTTCGTATAATAGAAAATTTTGCCTTAGATTTGAGAAATAAGCACAAAATATGCGCTCTGAATTAGGATTTTGATCTGCAAGGCTTACAAGGGGCGTCGATCTTTCCAGTTCTCTGATTGGCGAAAACTGGTATTATTATAGAAAGCCCTGTTTTAGATCATCAACCAATTATTCGCGTGGATCTCAATGCTGAGCTATTATGAGACTCGATATCATCAACAAAATTGAAAAATAAAAGCCTTTTTTGGGTAGTCAGGCTGGTTTAAGACGAAAAAAAAGTTCATTCACTAGCTTCCCGGGAACACAAACAACAGTGGTTGAGTGTTTGATTTTGTTCCCGTCATTCCCTGTAGCTGACATCGTGAGATACCTAGAGCTCTCCTTCCTTGCTACACGTTGACAACCTTTAAAAGTGTGCATCACGTTTGTATGTGCTGTAAAAAATACAGTGTGTAAATAAACTTTCAAAAATGTACCCTATAATAAGCAAGTATTTTACCGAAGCCCAAATTCACACCCTAAGCAAGTATTTCTAAGCCTAGGTCTTCCTAGCCTAAACAACTAAACAAGTATGTCATTTAACATTAATTTCCTACCCTATACAAGTAAACAAGACAGTATGTCATTTATCATTGAAAATTTCTCTACCCTAAACGAGTATTTCTATTTCTGCAGTTTTCTGCAAACGATTGTGGCATTGTTCCAGATTAACAATGAACAGTGGAATCGGCGTGCTGGTTTAACATTCAAATAGTGCTTTTTTATTTTCATTATAGTGTGTGTTTCATTCATGAATTATGTATGCATGCCTTAATTCCTAATTAAATTAGGGAGGGCTAGAGATTCAACTAAAACTGTGACAACTTAGCTGCCCCCCTTAAAACTTAATTGAATTTGGTACTTTTTTTTTGTAATCCTTGAAGATATTTCGGGAAACACACTGCATACTAATTATAACAGCCAAACAAAAATAAATTGTTTGGTATTCTGCTTATGGTAGCCATATGTTCATCACTGTCTTTTTGAAGTAGGTCTATTAATACTCTGGCATGTAGGTCTAATAGTTTATTTACTCTCATTCAACTTATCCAATTTTCGTATTACCTAATCGTTTTATGGGCATACATATTCCTGTCCTTTTGTGCTTTTTGTGTGTCACTAAGTGAAACAGGACGTGAGAGGGAGAGAGAGAGAGAGAGAGAAGGAGAGAGATAGACACAGAAAGAAATAGAGTGATATAGAATGAGATAGGGGTGGCCACAAAAAATAAACAACCTATACCCCCATAAAAAAACCTAATTTGTCAACGTGTAAATAAAAGGCAACTTCGTGCAACAAATTTAAATCTTGGGCGCGTTTACTTATACCTCTGAGTAAAGGTACAGAAATGTGATGCGTATTACACTCAACGTCATTATAAAAACTGCCCGCTCTTAATTGGAAAGTCATATCTTCCACTTCACTACCACTGCATGTACCCTCTCCAAACCTCTAACATACAAAAATTCTCTTCTTTCTCTCTTGCTTGCTCCATTTCTCATGTTTCTTTCCCTGTTTGGCTATCCATCTCTACATCCCCACCATTTCCCTACCCATAAACATCCTCCACTCCCATCCTCATCTCACTCATTCCCTCCCTCTATATCCTCCACTCCCATGCACCCTCATAATTATGTCTCCCTTCCTCCCTCTATCCTCCACTCCCATGCACCCTCATAATTATGTCTCCCTTCCTCCCTCTATCCTCCACTCCCATGCACCCTCATAATTATGTCTCCCTTCCTCCCTCTATCCTCCACTCCCATGCACCCTCATAATTATGTCTCCCTTCCTCCCTCCATCTCTTCTCCCTTACATTCTTTCCTCTCTTTCCTCCCTCTATCCTCCACTCCCATGCGATCTCATATGTCTCCCTTCCTCCCTCCATCTCTTCTACCTTTCCTCCCTCGCGTTCTTTCCTCCCTCTATACTTCACTCCCTTCCTCCATATCTATTCCCTTACATTCTTTCCTCTCTTTCCTCCCTCTATCCTCCACTCCCATACAATCTCATATGTCTCCCTTCCTCCCTCCATCTCTTCTACCTTTCCTCTCTCGCGTTCTTTTCTCCCTCTATACTCCACTCCCTTCCTCTCTCCATCTCTTCTCCCTTACATTCTTTCCTCTCTTTCCTCCCTCTATCCTCCACTCCCATGCAATCTCATATGTCTCCCTTCCTCCCTCCATCTCGATCTTCTACCTTTCCTCTCTCGCGTTCTTTTCTCCCTCTATACTCCACTCCCTTTCTCCCTCCATCTCTTCTCCCTTACATTCTTTCCTTTTTTCCTCCCTCTATCCTCCACTCCCATGCAATCTCATATGTCTCCCTTCCTCCCTCCATCTCTTTTACCTTTCCTCTCTCGCGTTCTTTTCTCCCTCTATACTTCACTCCCTTCCTCCCTCCATCTCTTTTACCTTTCCTCTCTCGCGTTCTTTTCTCCCTCTATACTTCACTCCCTTCCTCCCTCCATCTCTTCTCTCTTACATTCTTTCCTCTCTTTCCTCCCTCTATCCTCCACTCCCATGCAATCTCATATGTCTCTCTTCCTCCCTCCATCTCTTTTACCTTTCCTCTCTCGCGTTCTTTTCTCCCTCTATACTTCACTCCCTTCCTCCCTCCATCTCTTCTACCTTTCCTCTCTCGCGTTTTTTTCTCTCTTTCCTCCCTCCATCCCGGCACTCATGCACCCTCCATCTCTTCTACCTTTCCTCCCTTTATCATCCACTCCCTTGCACCCTATATCTCCCTTCCTTCCTCCATCTCCTCTCCATTTCCTCCAACCCCATGCACCCTCATATTATGTCTCCCTCCATCTATTCTACCTTTCCTCCCTCTATCCTCCACTCCCTTGCACCCTATATCTCCCTTCCTCCCTCCATCTCCTCTCCATTTCCTCCACTCCCATGCACCCTCATAATTATGTCTCCCTTCCTCCCTCCATCTCTTCTCCCTTTACATTCTTTCCTCTCTTTCCTCCCTCTATCCTCCACTCCCATGCGATCTCATATGTCTCCCTTCCTCCCTCCATCTCTTCTACCTTTCCTCCCTCGCGTTCTTTCCTCCCTCTATACTTCACTCCCTTCCTCCATATCTTCTCCCTTACATTCTTTCCTCTCTTTCCTCCCTCTATCCTCCACTCCCATGCAATCTCATATGTCTCCCTTCCTCCCTCCATCTCTTCTACCTTTCCTCTCTCGCGTTCTTTTCTCCCTCTATACTCCACTCCCTTCCTCTCTCCATCTCTTCTCCCTTACATTCTTTCCTCTCTTTCCTCCCTCTATCCTCCACTCCCATGCAATCTCATATGTCTCCCTTCCTCCCTCCATCTCGATCTTCTACCTTTCCTCTCTCGCGTTCTTTTCTCCCTCTATACTCCACTCCCTTTCTCCCTCCATCTCTTCTCCCTTACATTCTTTCCTTTCTTTCCTCCCTCTATCCTCCACTCCCATATGCAATCTCATATGTCTCCCTTCCTCCCTCCATCTCTTTTACCTTTCCTCTCTCGCGTTCTTTTCTCCCTCTATACTTCACTCCCTTCCTCCCTCCATCTCTTTTACCTTTCCTCTCTCGCGTTCTTTTCTCCCTCTATACCTCACTCCCTTCCTCCCTCCATCTCTTCTCCCTTACATTCTTTCCTCTCTTTCCTCCCTCTATCCTCCACTCCCATGCAATCTCATATGTCTCTCTTCCTCCCTCCATCTCTTTTACCTTTCCTCTCTCGCGTTCTTTTCTCCCTCTATACTTCACTCCCTTCCTCCCTCCATCTCTTCTACCTTTCCTCTCTCGCGTTTTTTTCTCTCTTTCCTCCCTCCATCCCCGGCACTCATGCACCCTCCATCTCTTCTACCTTTCCTCCCTTTATCATCCACTCCCTTGCACCCTATATCTCCCTTCCTTCCTCCATCTCCTCTCCATTTCCTCCAACCCCATGCACCC